ATTAAGATACTTACCAGATTGTTAATAACTCTGTACGTACGCATGTCTCAAATCCTGACAGGATGGAGAAATGGAGGGAGAAAGGATTGTGGTGCGACCACACCTCATTAGGAGGCTGGCTCTTTCTGTCTCTCACTCTCTCTCTCGAGTGAGTGTACGTGCCCTCTGACAAAGAAAAGAAAAAAGAATATAAAATATAAAATGAATTAAACAATACCCCCAGGAGCTAATAGGTTAACCTGAGGATAATAATATTGGACATCAGGTTCAAACACCTGATATAAAGAAAGCACATGAATATAAATAAATATATTAGATTTATAATCCTGTATACAAATAAGGGAGTAAATGCCTCACGTGTGTAGGTCAGCAAATCGGTAAATATTCATGACGAAAGACATGATGGGCATGCCCACACTCCTGACAGGAGGGAGAAATGGGGGAAAAGGGATTGTGGCGTGGCCAGGCTCCATTGGGAGAGGGAAGTTTTCTCTTTCTTTCTGGAGATTGCACGTTGTCCTCTGGCAATAAAACAAAAAGCTTATACTTAAAAAGGGCTTCAACTTGCCAGTTTAGCTTGGTTAACTAGAAACTATGCAAACAACATGATACTATGAAATAGCTACTATGCAAATAACTTGAGAAGTTATTATGAAGAAGAAGGCTGTATACAGTAGAATAAGGAGACTACTTTCCCAGTGAAGTCGCCCAGTGTAGCATGTAGTCTATGGTTTGAAGTCTACAGTAGAAAAGACATGTGTAACATAGTCTATGGTTAGTAAACCGAGGTGGCCCCTACCACTGTGAAGATACACACTAGGAACTTAGGATATAAAGCAACATGAAAGAGGCCCAGCCACAGTGGTGCAAGCAGGAGAGCTCCACTGAGTATTTTGGGAGCCACATGAAAGATGCAGATTAAAATCCTAGACTAACCTAAACATGGCAGTCGTGATAGAAATACACCTGTAACTCTAGCTAACTGGGGGACAGGGGTGGGAGGACCCAGAATACAAGACTCTTTCAAAGGTATATATCACTCCCTCACCCAAAAAAAAAAAGAAGGAATCTAGTCAGAGGCCACGTCTGAATTAATAGTTTATTAAAATTAAAGATAGTTTAATAAAATTAGTAAAGATTGTTTATTAAAATTCTAATTGTAAGTAGCAAGAAAAATAAAACAAAACAAAATAAAACCCAATTGCAATTGGCTGCATTTGTTTTATTTTCTTTGTTGTCTGTGACTATAATTATCAGAGGATGAATTCAATTTCTAAGTGTAATACTAAGAAGAATTTTGATAAACTGCAACATAATTTATATGACATAAATTTTGTTATAAACTTTCAAACATGGCAAATACTTTTGTTGTTTTCTCAGCATTAAATATCACTTTATTGAGCCTAATTTAAATGCCACAGTGGTGACACTTGGAGAAATCAGTTGAATTATCAAATAATTTACCCTCTAATTTTCATCTGGTTACTTTTCCTACAGAATTAATTTTTATTATGGAAACCCACATCACTTTTTCTAGACTCTTTCTTTCTTTCTTTTTAGGTTTTTGCAGTAGAGCATGTGCACTCGCCAGACAGAGATAGAGAGAGGCAGTGAGAGGAAAAGTGAGAACTCACTCCTAGAGGGGATGGTCACACTGCGATCCCTTCTCCTTCATTCTCCTCCTCAGATTGGCCACACACGCATAAGCGCCCAGCATGATTTTCAAGCCACCAGGTCCAGGACTTGAACCACAGTTAGCCACATGGGAGCCCAGTGCCTTGACCACTGCACTACTTGCTGGCCTCAAGTGTTTCTCTTTATAATATTCTATTCAAAATGAAATTTTAGAATTTTCTCTTGAAGAACTGTTATGCCAAAATTGTTTATCAGGTAGATTAAAGTGGAAAGTTATTTTTGCTTCTAATCTGGAAAATGTCAGCATTTTAAAATCAATTCCCACAACACTAAATAAGTGTCATTGCAAAAGAATTAACCAAATATGAGATTATTTAGGTTTTTGTTGCATATGCAATACTCATTTTATGATGAGAGAATGGAGGTTATTGAAAGTAAGGTAGAAATTAATCTATTATGTTTCTAATATGTAGTGTTGACTTTGAAAAAACATCTTGCATGTACCCATTGACCTCCTAAATATATTCCCAGGGAAAAGACCGGAAGACTGTGAGTTCCTCTGGTGTGGAAAACACATACCAGGGCCAGCAGATGGCGTAGCAGTTATGTTGCTGGGCTCCCACGTGGCTAACCACAGTTCAAGTCCTGTATCTGGCGTCTTGAAAATCACACCAGGTGCCTGTGCGTGTGTGCCCAAGATGCCAGGAGGAGAATGGAGGAGAAGGGATTGGGGTGTGACTATCCTCCCCGGAGGGTGATTTTTTATTCTCTTCCTCTCTCTCTCTCTCTCTCTCTCTCTCTCCCCCTCTAGCCTGTGCACGTGCCCTAAGGTAAAAACCTTTAAAAAAAAAAACATACCGTGAGTTTTAATGACTTAAGTTTTGATGGTGTATATGAACACGCCGTTCCGTCTTAAACCCTGTGATCCATTCTTGATTTTAGGAAATATGAAATTATTCAGGTTTTTATTGCATATGCAGTACTCATTTTATGACGAGTATAGCATACCTTTCACAGCAGGCCCGAGAGAATGAGCACAAATGAGGGAAGGGAAGTTAATAGAACTAGGGCAGGGAGTCCAAGATCTGCATGAAGACAGCAATGAAGATCATCAGGGAAACATCTGAAGAAAAACGAGCATGAGGAGAGCTATTTGAGAAACTCTGATAAAGAGGAATGAGAGTGAGAAAGAGAAATGAGAAAGAGGTTGAAAACACTGTAGAATGGCAATGTCAGAGCTACTTTCAATGGAGAGGAACTCGCGGAACTGAAGCTGTGAGATGGGAGGAATTAGACAGCTGGGAACAACCATGATGATTGCTCACAGAAATCCGACCACCCAGAGCAATAGCGTCAGCCTCACCTGGGAATTCGTTAGACGTGTAGGTCACAAACCCCAGAGCTGGGATCCAGGAATCTGTGTTTTTACAAGCCCTGTGGGTGATTCTGAGGCATGCTAAATTCTAGATCAGTGGTTTAGAATTTCTAAGGAGACTTTAGCCTCCATTTTTTAATCTGGAGTTATCTTAGTTGCCCTTTGTAAATGGGTAAGTGTTGATATAAATAAAGTGGATATATAACTAATTCTTGGTTACACAATGGAAAACTTTTTTTTTTTCAGGTAGTGAGTATTCAAATTTCTCTGCCACTCAATTTGCTTAACAGTGTTTGGCTTCAATGATTATAAGAAAATAAAAATTAAATTTGGTACTGGTGACTCAACACAAGTATAATAGTAAATATGCTACATTCCAAAGTGTCTACTAATACATAACCGTATTATATATATATATGATTATTCATACTTTTATGAAGTGTTTGATATGAAAATGTTAAGTGTTTTTGAATGTATGCAGCTGAAAAGACATGCTAATTATTTTTCCTTTTTTTTTTTTGTCATGCTAGACGGTACATATGTGTATACAAGATAAAGAGGGAGAAAAAGTGCCCCCACAAAGAGCCCTGGTCATGCTGCGATTCTATTTTCTCTCATCAATCCCATCAGAATTCTGAGCATACACCTGTGCACCTGGCCCATAAGCCACCGGGGCCAGGACTCAAACTCTGGTCAGCCCTTTAGGATGTGGCTGTTTCTGCACAGTGCTTAACTGCCTCACCACAAGGCTGGCTCCCAAATATTAAATACCTTAAATTATTATTTTATCCATTACAAAGAAAATGAAACATAACCATTGTAAAGTAAACACGCTTTAAGGAATATGAAAGTGTAGAAATAGTTTTAACTAAGAATAAAGTTTCAGTTTTCCACTTGCTTTCTGTTCCTAAGCTACAGGACGCTGCTGAAAAGATAGCAGAGAAAGAGCAGAAGACGGATGAAAAGCAAGCAAACAAACAGAAGAAGCTATCGTATAAAATGCATTAGTCTTATTTTATTATTTTGATTGCTCTTTTTTGATTCATAATTAAGTAACAGCATGAATTGTGGCAAAATCATAAGCCATGTGTGAGAACCTCTTTCAGAAGGAAAGTAGTATGATCGTCTCAGCAGTGACTTACAGACAGTAGCTTCTATTTCCAAGCGAGTGCCACTATCGGCTCTCCTTGTGGGCGAGTTCACCTTGGTAAGTGGGTTAGTTAGTCATAGCTGTCACTGGTATAAGGGGCAGTATCATGTGGTTATTTGACTCCAGCTAGTCTTATTTTATCCTTTAAAACCCAATTAATAACCTATATCCACAAGGACTGCAAAACGCACTGCCATTTTCTAAATTTCATAAAGCAATTACGAAATGCTAAAGATAAACTAAAAAATTCTTTTACTTATTTCCCTTTATATAACCTCTACATCCTGACATAAAATATATTAAAAGTTCCTTTACTCTCCATGCATCCAATGATAATGTTCTCTTTGAATTAAATACAAAATTATTTATGATTTGGAATATTGCCTTTAATATAATATTTTCTTTTATTATATTATATAATACACAAATATATATTCATAACATGTGCTTTTAAACATTTTCTACATAGAGAGAAAAACATACCTAGGGCTAAAATGGTTTTAAAGGCAATTCTTTAATGACAGAGATTTTACTGAGTAATAGGCAACTTTACTCATAAAAATGGTTTTATATGAGACATTTTAAGGCATGTTTCCAAAGTTACTATCTGTTACTATTCTCATTGTATTTTTTTAATTAAAAGATAACAAATAATAAAACCTGTCCCCAAAAAAGAAAAAAAAAAAAGCATGCCATCTGAACTCTATTTTTTAAATTCCATTGGATATTCTGGAAAAATATACATTACCTACTTTCAAAAGATTTTTCTCAAAGGAAGAGAAACAGTCTTGATGCCTTCTCTGAACTCTTTTTTTTCCTTCCTCTGTTACAGGTATTCTTTTTTTCAGCTACACTAATCTTTTAAAAGAGAAAAAATGGATTTCTTAAACTCCTCTGACCAAAATTTGACCTCTGAGGAACTGTTAAACAGAATGCCATCCAAAATTCTTGTGTCCCTCACTCTCTCTGGGCTGGCTCTGATGACAACAACTATCAACTCCCTTGTGATTGCTGCGATTATCGTGACCCGGAAGCTGCACCACCCAGCCAACTATTTAATTTGCTCCCTTGCAGTCACAGATTTCCTTGTCGCTGTCCTGGTGATGCCTTTCAGCATTGTGTATATTGTGAGAGAGAGCTGGATTATGGGGCAAGTGGTCTGTGACATTTGGCTGAGTGTGGACATTACCTGCTGCACGTGTTCCATCTTGCACCTTTCAGCTATAGCTTTGGATCGGTATCGGGCGATCACAGATGCTGTTGAATATGCCAGGAAGAGGACTCCCAAGCGTGCTGGAATTATGATTACGGTGGTGTGGATCATATCTGTCTTCATCTCTATGCCTCCTCTATTCTGGAGGCACCAGGGAACTAGCCGAGATGATGAGTGTGTCATCAAACACGACCACATTGTTTCCACTATTTACTCAACGTTCGGAGCTTTCTACATTCCATTAGCATTAATTTTGATCCTCTACTACAAAATATATAGAGCAGCAAAGACACTATACCACAAGAGACAAGCGAGTAGGATTGCCAAGGAGGAACTGAACGGCCAAGTTCTTTTGGAGAGCGGCGAGAAAAGCACTAGACTGGTCTCCACACCCTACTTGCTAGAAAAATCTTTATCTGACCCATCCACAGACTTTGAGAAAATTCATAGTACAGTGAAAAGTCCCAGATCAGAATTCAAACATGAGAAATCTTGGAGAAGGCAAAAGATCTCAGGCACAAGAGAACGCAAAGCAGCTACTACCCTGGGATTGATCTTGGGTGCATTTGTAATATGTTGGCTTCCTTTTTTTGTAAAAGAATTGGTTGTTAATGTTTGTGAAAAATGTAAAATTTCTGAAGAAGTGTCAAATTTTTTGACATGGCTTGGCTATCTCAATTCCCTTATAAATCCACTGATTTACACAATCTTTAATGAAGACTTTAAGAAAGCATTTCAAAAACTCGTGCGATGTCAGTGTTAAAGTTCATTATTAAAGAGAAAGGTTTTGGGGTTATTTTTGTGGAGAAATAACTAGACAAATGCTAAATAAAAACACATTTAAACATTTAGAGGCAACTATATTAAACTCTTAAAATGATAAGAATGTAATTTATATCTTAATAGCAACATAAATATAAAATTTGTTGATCTGACCATTATTCTAGAGTCCTCAAAATTACCACATAATTTATGCAGATTGTAAACAATATCTTGCCTATGCAATATTCCTAAAAGGTTAACTGGAAAACATATACATACATATATATATATATAATATTAATAACAGTGATTTTCCAGGTTTATGTGTTTCAACAATTGCAAAGGAGTTAGTGAACAACATATCATAATCCATCATTTCTATTCAATTTTATTGTTTTACTATATAATTCTTATTATTTTATAGAAAACATGTCATTCATCACAAAACACTTTCCTCTT